TATCAAATATACATGTTAAGTTTACGTATCTAACACATCCTTTATCATTTATCCTTTTACTTAGCTACTTGGCTTAACTTTTTAAAGAAGTTTTATGCTATATAAAGAAATTAGGTTGTTCCTTGCGTTTTTAGTTATAAATTTAGAATTTAATTTTTAATCTTAATTAAGTTAAATATTTGTTTGCTTCTAAAAATAGTTTTCTCCCAAAAAAATTCAAAATAATTAATACCTAAGTTTAAATAATTTGGATACCACCACAACTAAGCTACATTAAAAAAAATGAAATTCACTACTGCAAATATATATACTATAATTATTTATTGATTAAATATTTAATATGTTGTTAATTATCTAAATAATTCAGTGATAGTTTCTTTCGTTAAAAATAAAAAATTTTGAATTTGAATTATATATCATGCAACTGAGATGAAATCAAAGATAAGATAAAATTATTTCATATTGTGCAATCAAAATAGAAAAATATATTTAATATGTTTTTTTTTTTCTTACAAGTTTGCTGGAGAAGCGAGGATGTTGGATCAAAGTAAGCTTCAATCCTTCCTTGATGATGCTGGAATTAGTGTATGTTTGACATCCCATGATGGCGATAATGTAAAAGCTGAACCTCGGTGTCGTATACAACCGAGCTACCGGACTCAATGGCTCCTCTCCGACATCATTCTCCGTCAACCCTTGTGCTTCTTTGCAACCATTACAAATTTACAACTTTTCTTTGCTTCTACTTCCATGGCCTAACTCTTTCTATATATATTGGTATTTAATCTAAGAGTTTAATTAGATTTTCGGCACCTGGAGAGACTCTTCTTTTAGGAGGTTATTGGTTTGAACTCCGTACCTTATCCAAGTACCAACAGCAAAGTGCAAAGATATTGCAATTTGTACTTGGCCGTTTGTAATAAAATTAATTTATGAATTCAAATTTGGAATTTTACTTTGCTTTCTCCTGAATGGATGAGACTAACAGACATTCATAAGAGTTAAATAACAAGTGCCATTTCTAGTATGGCTTCATATTGGATGGTCATGTAATCCAATATGTTTTGTTGTTATTAATTATTATTGTTTTGAAGTGCATCACTCTACCTAACTCTAAGTGTACATAATACTTTTTTTTTTTTTGGTAATCATTTTTATTTTATTTTATTTTAAGAAAGAGACACTTTGGATTAATTGATACAAGTACAAATAATATTTCTCTTACTATTTTCATCACCTTTTCTTAAATAACTTATTTTTGCTTACTGTTTGCTTTGATTTTTATGGGTGTAATTTTTTTTTTTTTAAACATTTGAGGGGTAGATGAACATATCCAAATAAAAAATTTTGAAGTAATGAATATTAATTTAATTAAATTTTTGTTAGTAAGCTTTCCTAATAACAACTGCCAATGAATGATTTGGGCATTTTAATAATAATGTTAAGTAGGAATTATGTGAATGAAATGAGTTAAGTAATAAAAAAAAATTAATGAATTTATTATTTTACTATATAAATTATAAATTGAAAACAAATCTTAATATCAAAAACCTATGTTCATCCAATAATTTAATTTGAATACTGTTTGAGAACCGAAAATAACCGAACGAAATTTAAAGAATTGTGAATTTTGCTCACACGGTGGAACGCTAGCACGCATGTGAGAGGCACGTGGTTTGACGTACAACTAAAATTATGGTGGATTATGAGTCAGATGGAGATGAGGTTGCTGAGCTAATCAAAGGGGGATTTTTATTCCTTGTTTGCGTTTGTATTAATCTATTTTTGTGTAGAATCTGATACCCTCTTTCCTAAAGTTTGGAATTTTGCAAATGTAAATTGCTTTCTCTGTGGTTTTATAAAGCTTCAAGGACGGAATCAATGTCAACATGTTGCTAAGCATTCTGTTTGTCCCAATAAAACCTTCAAGGATGGAATCAATGTCAACATGATGCTAAGCATTCTGTTTGTCCTATTTACGAACTCCTTTAAAAAACTCTCCGTTTCTCTCAAGCCAGGCTCAAATGGGTCAACAGGAAAATCTCTGATTTGTTTTTATAAAGGTACTTTCAAACTCTAGCTTTTACTGATTACTGTTTGTTGGCATTTTCAATGAGCTTGCTTGTGGGATTGTGGGTATTTCTGCTTCTAAGTCTATGATTATGTGTTTGTATATGTGGTTGAGAATGATTGAGAACCATCAATTGGTATATTTCTCTCAAGTCAGGGTAACAGTAAAATTCAATTGTTTGCTTGAGATCTATGATTTCAAGAAAGGATGCAAGATGGAATGGTGGGAAAAGGCTATCACGGTTATAGAATGTTTGCCAGCAGATAACATGGCAAAACTGATTCATAGAAGGAACTGAAATATGTTTAAGATTGAAAGTTTTCAGCTTTTTCAGGCATAAGTTTATCTGCTGTGCTGGTTTCATGTTGATGTACTAGAAGAATCAGGGATCTAAGGTTATAGAGATGCCCTCATGATTTGAGCCGTTCTTTTGTTTGACTGGCCTTAAAATTGACTGATACATGTAAAGCATAGTATTGTCTAACTCTTGTGTCACCTGGCATGTCTGCAGTTAAGAACTGCAGAACTGATTGGTGTTGCAATAGTCATGCCTCATAACTGTTCTAAGTATGCACTTCTCTGCTATTTCTAAATTGATTATTCAAAACTTTCTCCTTCATTCTATTTCAAAATAGGCTCTGGTGACTTATACAGAAGGACATAATAGTCTTAATAGAAATAATTGGTTGCTTCAACTTTTAACATTTTAATAATTATGGGGCATTGTTTTCTACCTTGCAGTATATATCCCTTGAGGGCTTATGGAAGAAGGGACAACAAGCAGTTCTGTGTTACCAGCCCCTGACAGAGATATTTTCAGCCATTCAGGGCCTTTGCACCTCACTCATATTGACTGGTGAGATCTCTTTTGGGCTACCTTCAATTTCATTCATGATTCTCCAATGCATGTTTTCTTCTTGACATAATTAGTGAGATATCCTACGGTGGGATTGTGTATCAGAAATAAATGAATTTGAATTGGCAATCTTTGTGATTACTGTGTTTGAGCAAAGGAACAAGTAGATATAGTCAAGAGCTGTATACATGGGAGTAATGACATCAAAATCTAGCATTTCATGTCTAATGGTTCTTAGAATCCCCTTCCCATGACTGGAATCATGATACATAATAAGGGAAAGTGTAAGCTTTTTGAAGTTAGATTCGCTAATCTAAGTATAACTTTGTCTAACTAAATGGGAAGGTGGATGAAAATTGTGAAGTGTTACACCTTTCCTAGCTAGTCTGAAACCTGGTTATTTGTGATACTATTGTAGGAAAAACTTCCATCATAGAAGATCTATTGCTGCAAGCTTGGTTCAGGGAGTACGTGTTTTAGAGTTTGACCGCCAGCAGAATCGACAAGGACAGCAAGCTCATGCTCCCGAATGGTGGGAATTCTTCCATTTTCAACTAGTTTGTCCATTAATAGATGTTGACAACTCCATTTTTGGTGCCATTTATGAACTCAAGCTCTCTGGTTTGGACAATTCAGCCCAAATTGTCCCGCGTTTTGTCATTGCCTTTCGGGGTACAATAAAAATGCAAGCGTCTCTACCGCGAGATCTCAAGCTGGATCTCCTATGTGTCTGTAACAAACTTCATGAAAGCTCCCGCTTCCAGATTGCAATGCAGGCTGTGCAAAACATGGTTACTCTTGCTGGAGCTTCAAATATTTGGTTGACTGGACATTCATTGGGGTCAGCTATTGCCTTGCTTGCTGGGAAGAACATGGTTAAGATGCACAGTTATATTGAAACATACCTCTTTAACCCACCATTCTTGTCTGTCCCCAAGGAAATAATTCCAAATGAAGGGCTATGGCAGGGAATCCACTTAGCAAACACTGTAATCAGAGTGGGACTTGCACGCGTAAAGGGTCTCTACCGGATTCAAAGGCCTAAGCAATTTGATCAAGTTACTAATCAAGTTACTGCATTATTATCTCTCTGGGTACCTTACCTGTTTGTGAACCCAGGTGATCATATTTGCTCCGGTTATATCAGGTATTTTGAACAGAGAAAGAGCATGACCGAGAAGCTTCCAGAGATATCCTCAGAAAGTTCTTTCTCGAATGCAGATTCAGAATCTTTGCATCTGCTTCCTTCAGCTTATCTAACTATTAATCTCGGTTCTACACCTGATTTTAAACGAGCTCATGGTATTCATCAGTGGTGGGATCCAAATTTTGATGGTCGCTCTGAACATTACAGGTAATAATTACCCATCTGGCAACTTTTTCCTGAGGACATGAAAACGTACTATATCAATTACATACATGACTATCAATTTTTTAGACTTGAATGCCAGATATTGTAATATGGGGTTGACCTGCAAGAGAAAAAGTGTGGTATTGCTTATGAAATTAATTAAATATCCTTAAAAATTAACATGAAAAAGAAATTTATTAAAGATATTTAAATATTTTCAAGGGTATTCTTGCATTTTTTTTTCCATGCAAGTTAACCTGAAAAACACTTTTCTGTTCTAATCTCTTCTCAACTAACTTATAATATATGTTAAATAGCAGATGATATGTGACCTGAAGCAATCTCTTTTCTCTGGAAGTAGCTAGAGATCCTGGCTCAAGTCATGGCACAGGTTTAGCTCACGTTTATTAACCCAGCAATCAAGAGATATCTATTTGAAATATGGTGAATCATTGGTTTCCTAAGTGTATGGAAACTGTCTTAACAATATGTCATAGAAATTGAATATTACTTGAATGATTCTGGACATGTACAACATATATGGTAGAGTTAATATGTTTTAACATATGAATTGAGAAGTTCTGATGAGCTTTGGGAATCATTCTTGCTTCTTTTGGATATTCTTGCAAATAATGATACCAGTCTGTTTACATATCAGTCTTTTGTGATGTGCTGATCCACTCAATGAAATTCGTGTCCGTGAAGACTGCTGAGATGAATCTCGTGGCAACTTTCCATGAAGTTGTTCACCATGTTCTCATTTAGACAATTCGTACCGACTTAGTCATTAAGTTAATGATCATGAAAGCTACTTCCGAGATGAGTAGGGACTTTTTTTTAACTTTCTTATGACGTCTTTCCAGGGAGATGTACTCATGTTCTTAATTTGACGTATTCTTTATAGAAATTGGGAAATTTGTAAGAACTTGCGGCAGAGCTTGAGCTTAATTTATGTTTTCTTGTTGAAGGGTTTAGAATTTAGTTTTACAAAAACTCCAAGCAAAAAAGAGTTATCAAAATATTATAATTATAATGTCACATGAGATTAATTTTAAAT